AAGGGGAGGAGGGGCACAAAAATAATTTGAAACCTTTGCAACAACTCCCTTAACCCCCATCTCATACTTCAGGTCAGTCTGTTCCAGACAAATCCATCAACACAGCTCAGACTGCGCTCAAGAGCAGAGGAAAAAAACAACGGCGTTCAACAAAGGATCCCGCAGTCTAGAATGCAATACAGATGCAGAAAGCTCAGCCAAAACCCAGCTATGATATGAGTTCTTAAAACTCTGCATTTTTTTATTTCTGTCCCCCGCTGTCCATGAGGACTAGGGACATTCCTAGAACTCTGTCCTCACTGCTGCGTCAAGGCAGCTGCCGAGGATGCTGGGACACTGTTTGTAAACACTCAAACCACGTGCACGCAACCACATGGAGAGTCATCGTCCTGACCTAAACCTACCCACTTGGTAAGCCGGGGTTTGCTGCAATGGAGCCAAATCCTTTCCCAACACATTGTGATTTAGAGTAGCTCACGCCAGGACACTGGAACACAAACTTGGACTGCTGATGCATTATTGGAAAGGAGATTAGGCAGAAGAGTTGTTTAAATTTCAGTCACTGAAATGTGAGTTTAAGGACAGGGTAGCTCATGTAGAGCGCTGAAGATGTCCTTTATACAGCTGCAAAAATTCAACTTAAACTTGGAGACTTCCCCTCCCCCATGCATACACCTGGTAAAACAAATATTCCTATGCTGGGAAAACATGTGGAATATATCTGAGGTTAGAGGTAATGCTGTAGAACATGTGAAGATTATTTCATGTTGTCTAAATTGCACCATAGTATTTAATCAGAGTGTGGATGGTACTGCCCTGGACCTGGGGAAGACACTTCCAAGGGATATTTGGTTATTGAGCTATTCCTGGTTATCTTAGCTATCTAAACACTCACCTTCTCACTTCTTTAAAACTGTCTGTTGTGGTTTAACAAAACTTCGTACTTGATTAAGCATAAAATGCTGAATTTTCCTTTCTTGCTGAAGTTGAGCATAGAACAAGCCTATTCCTTCCCACACTGCAACAGAAATGTCTCCTGTATTTAACGTTTTATTTTTGTTTTAGTAAGAGGAAAAAAACACACACGAAGAATTAGGTCAAATACTGCAAGCCTTTATTTGTCTGTAAGAGTAATCCTTCTGGGATTTCTTGCCATATGTATACTACAAGGCAACAACACTCCAACTTGGAATCCCCACCTCCACAGAAAACTTAGCTTTTTAAAGACAGTTCAATTTTGTTCAGGTTACTAAGATGATTCAGCATTCTGGAAGGTGTTTTACAGAGATGAACAAGCCTGCTTGAAAAGACAGAGAGGAATCTAAATCTTTATGCCTTTTATTTAAGTGTTTTTCAAAGCATGGCAATTGTCTTTAAAGTGACCTCAGATTTAAAATTCTTTACTGTGAAAAACAAGTAGAAAACTTTCTGATCCACCTATAAGTTAGGACATGTTTTTTCCTTCATTTTAAAAACAATGTGAGATACACGAGTAAGATTAGTTAGCTGTTCTTTCTATTTCTCAGACCTTGTTTTTCTCTACCTTTTTTCTCCCTGCCATGTAATGCAAGGCACATTCCCAGTATTTTAATCCAAACAACATTTTTGGGTCAGTCATCTGACCCAAGAAACATCAGTTCTCTTTGGAATTAGTCCAACTGATGCTGGAAGTTCAGAATTTTGTTCCTCAACCCCATCATCTCTGCATCCACCCACTGAACAGTTCCTTGGCAAAATGGGTGATTTTCCATATACATATATATATATATATACACACACACACATAGATTTTTTTTTAAAGCAAACTTATCTACCCTGAGGTAAGCAGAAGTGATTTCTTTTCAATGGGTGACTGAGAGGATTACTCACGGTACTTTCCATTTGTACGGTTTTATTATCTAGGATTATTGGGACGAGGTATGCAAATTGAACATGCAAGCAGTGATGATAAAGTAGCAACTGGAACTATGGCAACTTGTTAGTAGTTACTTGTTCAGTGTTCAAAAACATATTTCTGCTGCAGAATGTCACTAAATGAGTAAGATGGTACTCACTGCCTTATGAAGTAAGGGATGGGAATAATGCTGCAAGTGTGATTGATTCATACAATTCTCTTTTTGGCTTTCAGCCATGATGCAGTCATATGCTTTATCTCTGTCAGAGTACAGCTTTTTTTTTTTTTTTAAATAATGAATCATAGTACATCCCACTCCATTTCAGAACCAGCACATTGCCTTTCAAAATGATGTCACAACACTTAATGCTGCTGGCTGACTGCCTTAACAGCAATCAGAAAGCTGGACTAAATAAATACTGTATATTATTTGCCAAAATAATTTGTGGTTGTGTTCTCCAGTGCAGTTTCCAAGATAACCACTGACTCTACTTGAAACTTGGCAACTTTGTTCTACCACTTTCAAGCTCCAGTTGTGAAGCTAGCTTACAGATGCTGCTACCATGAGCAGCATGTCTAGAACTACTGTGCAGCAGCCCGGTGAGAGAGGTAGAGGGGTCACTCCCTGTGACCAGCCAAATATGACAGCTCTTCTGGAATTCCACCTTGACAAATTGTCGGCTTTTTAAAAAGGACTTTACTTGGCTTCTGTCAAAACACAAAATACATCTTCCACTTGGAACTAAATGGAACAAGGGATTTAAAGTCACTGCTTAGGCACACTGATAAAAACACTACTGTCCATGCAAGTAATGTAGGACTGAGGCACTCCCTGTAAACCTGACCAGGGTCAGTAGCATTGATCCAACCTGACCTTCATGTATTTTCAAGTAGCAGATTTGCTCCAAAATATGATTAGGGGGTTTCCCCCCACCCCCCTTTTCTTTAGGGCTGTCTGGCTTTTGTTAATATTTAAGAGAACACTGTGGAAGACACAGACCAGCAGCATCTGAAGTGCTTGGGCAAGAAGGAACAGTCCCGTCCAACTCTGGCAGCTGAAATGTCCATTTCAGCTGCAACTACAGGTTCTCCCAATTCTGCATGCAAAAGCCAAAACATTTACAACCTTGTATTTCTGCTACCCAGTGCAGCACTGGTTCCAACAAGAGACCTCAGAAATCTGTCCATCATAGTAACTCAATAACTCCACAACAAGCGCACGTTTCTTGTTCTTTAAACAATGCTGACATGCCAAAGTCTAAGACCATGTGCACTATATAAAAACAATACCAGTTTTCCTGGCTAAAAGCCACCACAATGAATCACCACAATGCCAAAGTTCTCATAAAAACCTTACTAACAACAGTGATAGCTCTGTAGATTCTGGTGCCTCAGTGTCTCCTGTTCAGCCTTGTTTTCTTTTGAAGATTTGTTCGGAATGGGCAATACAAAACCACTTTCTGAGGTTCCCTGTATGCATTCACAAAGAGTTTTTTTATGCCACTTCCCAAAATGTAAAAACGCTTTCCACTGAAAAATAACTTTTGAGTTTTCACGTCACATTAACAGCAGTTTAGTGCCACTACCAAAACACTGTTGTTTTCCACAGCTTTGCATTCCCTTTTTTCCCTCCTCCCCTCACCCTGGCTTCTGGATTTAAATGTTTCCTGACTTAACTGGCAGGGCTCATTCTAAGCTTTCCATGAGAGAGACAAAATACTGCCCAACAGAGATTTTTTTTTTTTTTCATTGGTTCCAAATGGTGGTTTTCTGCGGGATAAAATCCAAGATGGGTACATTGTTTCAGAGAGTTAACAGCAGCCGTCAGATCCCGCTGTAACTCGAGTTTAGACAGAACTATTGACCACTGACATCTCCTTGTTGAGTATCTTCGGCAACCACGTCCCGTTTTGCACTTTACAACCTCCAAAGTGCTATAGTGGAATACACATGCAGATACACAAGTGAATGTGTGACTGCACTCACCCCCTGCTGCAGTAAGTCAACCTGCCATTAACACGCGAATAGGACGGCCTCATTAGCCGACAAACAACACCCACTGACCTGCTTTCACTAGGGACAGTGTTATCTGCTCATCTCTGAAACTCTTAGACTTCACATTGAAAAGAAGAAGAAGAAAAGAAAATTATGCTGAACATATATTCAGAGCTGCCGATCACTGCTCAAAGCCTGCACATTGGCATGCTGCTCATCATGGAAAGCAAATCTTGTGATGAGATCTTTAGCTGCAGCGTTTCGGTGAAAGCACGCTAGACCACATCACTTTTCCCTTCACCTCACTCCGAAAAGGAAAATTACTTAGCAGAAAAGAGTCTGCTGAATTTCCAACACTCAGACCTCGAGCCGAAAAGCCCCCTTTTAACTCTGGGCAAGAGAATCAGTGTTGGTGTCTAAGAGGGTGATTTAGCGCCGATAAAAGCCGCGATGCGAGCGAGCGAGCGAGCGCACACTGCCGCGCGTCCGACTCGGGCGCGGCGAGGTTGTTGCTCTTGTCTGTCATCTGGCGGGGAACGAGCCTGACCTCGCCGAAAGCGTTATTTTAGGGGAGCACTCTCGGGAAAGTGATCCTCCTTTTCCTCCCGTGGCCACATTGTGCCCCGACGGCGGGGTTTAGCAACGCGGGCGAAACACGCGTGTGGATCAGTGCACGGAAAACGCGAGGCCCCGCTCCGAGCCCCCGCCTCGCCCGCACGCACTTCTCCCTCCCGAGCCCCCCGGCAGCGCGGTCCGCTCGCCACGCCGGTGCCCTCCCCAGGCCCCGCCAGCCCCCCGCCTCTCTCCCCGGGCTGCGCCCGCCTTTGTGTCCGCCCGGGGCCGGGGAGCGGCACAAAGCCGGGGCGCCTCCGGCCGCCGTGCCCCGTCCGCAGACAAAGGCGCGGGGAGGGGCGGCGAGGCGAAGCCCGGGTCCGGCCCCGCGGGGAGGGGGCGGCGGCGCCCCCGCAGCCTCTGTCAATCAGCCATGTTGGGGACCCACGGCGGCGCCCCCTCCTCGCCGACCCCCGGCGGCGCGGCGCGGCGCTGCCCCGCGGCACCTCCCGGCGGTGCCGGGCGGGGAAGGCGGCCGGCGCGGGGATTCCGCTCTGACCTCTGCCGCGTCCCTCAGCCTCGCCGACATCCAGCACGCACAGCCCGGGCGCCGCGCTCCCCGCTCCTACAGCGCCGCCATCTTGCTTCCTTCTGCTCCTTGGCGAGCGCGGCCGGGCCCCCGCATCAATATGCGCGCGGCGCCCTGACGTCGGTGCCCGCCCCGCGCACCGCCCCGCGCGCGCGGCGCGGCTCCCCCCGGTCCCCCCCAGCGCGCGGCGCGGGGGCGCCCCCAGCACCGTCACCGGCGCCGTCCCCGTCCCCGACCGCGCGGGGCTTTTTTCCCGGCTGCTGACGCTCTTCTGGCCTTTTGGGGATTCCCACCCCCGCCTTCTTGCACCCCTCCGCCTTTTCTGCTTTCGCCGGTGGGTTCGCGGGACGCGGCGGGGCGGAGGGTGCCGCCCTCCAGCGCCAGCCCCCGCCGCCCCCCGTGGGACATCCCCCGTCCCGCATCCCTCCCGTCCGCGGGGGCCGGCGGCACTTTCCCACGGCCCCGGGAGCCCGTCTGCGGTGCGGCGGGCTGCTCTGCCCCGGCCGCGGCGGGAGGCTCGGGAGCGCGGCTTGGTAGTGCGCGGTGGCCGGCTGACAGAGTAAAAGAAAAGCCAAGAAAGAAAAGTGTGGGTGGTGGTGGGGAATAAATAAAATCTCCTCAGGCTTTCCCAAAATGAAGCCCTGTGCCCGCAGACACCGGGCTGCCAGCGGGGATTGCTCAGCGCGGGGTGAGCTGGACACTCATTCCCGGGAGCGCCCGCAGCCCCGCGGCTCGGTGCGTGACGAGCGGGACTAGCGGCACCATTCCCAAACTATGGGCTCGTGGCTCGCCGCAGGAGAAACGGTGTCGTGCCCGCGACAGATGGAGCCGCGAAAGGAGGTCTGGCTGCCGGTGCCAGCCCCGCAGCCCCGGGAGCGGAGGCTGGTGCCCCCCGAGCCTGCCAGCCCCGCCGGCGGGGGACAGCTCCCCGCTGCCATCCCCTCCGTGCGCCGCTCGCCGCCTTGCACCGGCGGAGCTGGAGCCCTTCCAGCTGGGCAGCTGCGGGGAGCAAGAAGTAAAAGTATGCAAAATCGCCTCTCTGGGAACCGGCGCTGGGCTTTCACACCGCCGAAACACCGCCCGGAGCTCCGAGCGCCGGACGGATCCCGGGGCCGCCCCTCCAGCGGGTCCCTCTGCTTCCCACTGCGCCAAGTAGAGCAGCTCCAAGGCTGCTTTCCTCTGGCTTGTCCGGGACGCGTGCGGGGCTCGGGAGGATTTTAGGGGACCATTCGCTTTCCGGCCCTCTCCCCATCTCCGATGTGTCCTTCACCCCAGAGAGTACCAGGAGAAGGTCTACAAGCACTGTGTTCAACAGTGGTGCCCAAGAGATGCTGAATCTCCATCTGTCCCTTGCCTGGCAAAGACAGGCTGGTGAAAAAGGGCTTCAAGATGACAAAGATGACAAATCCAGTGCATTTGATGCAGATCAGTGATTTCTAGGAAGTTCAGATCATCACTGAGTAATTTGTTTTTCATATCACAGGTTGTTTTCTGAGTCTTGGTTTTACTTTAATTTCTGTGAAACGTTTCAGAAGTACACTAGAGATAAAAGTTTGCCCCTTACAACTTGCTAAAATAGCTGGTAGCAGAGTGTCACTTCTGTACCTTTGCGAAGGCTCGCTCTCCTCAGCCTTTGGAAACGTGCTGGAGCTGGCTAGCCCTATCCTGTAGGAAAATACATGGGGTTTCTAACAAAGACCTTTGTGTTTACTTCTGCAGAGCTGACTTCAGCAGCATTTCGTTCAGCCTAAATTTGTGCAAATAGAGTCAGGTCTCTCTTTTCTTGGAAAAGTAAATGATGCAAAAAATGCTCAAGGTCTGCGTCAGTTTTGCCATTTTTTTGGTGCTTTCACAGCAACTTGCTTGATTTCCAGCAGGCTTTAATCAGCATTTAAAACTCTTTTAGGTTTGCCTGTTTTATTAAAGCCTGGAGTTGCTTTATCCCTTGGTGTGGCGCATCCAGCTGACATGACAAGGAACGAACATGCTCAGCCTCTCAGTGGGTTCAAAGAGCTTTCTCGTCCCTAAGCTGCTCTAAGCGGCTCTAACTGCAGACACCTCCATCCTCTGCACCGTCCTGTTCTGCCCAACCAGAGCTCGGCGTTGACAGGGTTTGGCGGGGCCTCTCTCTGTGCTTTTCTCCAGCAATTTGCATTGCGCTGGGAGAGGTGACCATCCTTTACATGATCCCTCCCGTGCCCGTGAGCCCTTTGTGGCTGGAAAAGGCAGGTGGCTGGTTTTGGCAGGAGAGGGTAAAATGGGAAAGAAAAGAAAGGAAGGAAGGAAGGAAGGAAGGAAGGAAGGAAGGAAGGAAGGAAGGAAGGAAGGAAGGAAGGAAGGAAGGAAGGAAGGAAGGAAGGAAG